ACAACACGTTATAACTAAACAATAACTGAAAATTCCAAAAGCTTTTGGCAATTACATGTTCTTTGTTTTAGTCATTTTTTAATATTATGATTTTATATTATTATTTTTATTGGTCAACTTTGGTATATGCAGCATATACCGAAACAGAAAATTGAACCTATTATTGTACATTTTGTACAGTCCCATGAATTTTGTGAAACAAAGGATACCGTACCGTACAGGGGTGTTACAACGTAATAAAAATTTAAAATGTAGATATCCGGACCCTTTCTCAGTTGAGGTAAATTTGAAAATGTCGTAATTGAAGTTTTTAGACCAACACGAAAGTCGATTATTGTTATTGTCAGGTATAGACCTCCAAATTCTCTTATCCCTTTGGAAGGCTTCTTCAAACTGTTCAGTACCTTAGCAGGGATGTCGGTAATTTAAATTGTGACGCACTATAAATATTAAGCTAATCATATAAAACGCATGGCTAAGGTAGCTTAAGATTTTCGCTTGTCCTTAATAAATAAACCAACTAAAGTGAACATAAACACATGTCACATGTGTCGTATCTAATAGACTCTAAAATCGATTAAATTAGTCTTTGATACCCATAAATTGCCATAATTGTTGGGGGCTTTGACCCTCCTTCCGAACACCTTTGAGAGATTTTCCTCGACACCCGACCACGCCCACGTTTTTTCGTCAAGGAGATCCCCCCGGGCCGGGGGACTTCGGCACCCTCCCCCACCCCATCGGGCAAATCCAGGCGCCGCCCCTACGTTGTATGCTGTATTTGCATCAGAACTATTTGTATGCTGTTAGAATTTAACACGTTTTCCCATTTTTTAGCGTTCACCTCTTGCTTAAAGCGTTCAGATTGCTGTAAAACACTTAATTTAACTAAGAAAATATCTGTTAATGTGTTATGTTGTTACTTTCTTTGAATTACGGTAGATGTTATCTGTAACAATAAGTGTTATCAGTGGTATAAACGAATTGGAGGGAATACCGTCCACATGTCTTTAATATTACCGTCCTTTGAACATTGCCGAGCTTAGTCGCCTATAAGGTAACGCTTGTTTTTTTTTTTTCTCAGATTAGGGAGATTACTAATGAAAGATGTTCATTCTTAGAAGATCATGATTGATCATAATTTTTTTTATTAAATAGCGTTTCAGCATTTTTCAATAGGTCATTGCGTATTTTAAAATATACTGTATATATTCAAGTAAATAAAAAATACCAATCATTTTCCAATCATGTCTCAATATATAAGTAAATATTGGGGTAATTTGTATAAAATTGTCTCCTTAAGTAAGCTATGTTTCTGTAAGGGCAATAGTATACAAACATTGTAATTAAGGGAGGATATTACGACCAGAAATAACGTCAAATGTATAGATTTACAATTAAATGGGCCCCCATCTCTGGACTCTTCTCTGTCACTATTGATTGCAAATCTTCAGCCTTCGATTTTTCAAGCTACAGCGTTGTTCAATATTGTTTAATTCGCATTGTCATTTTAAGCGGTGCGTTCCTTCTCGTCGGTGTTATTTTAACACACTCCAAACATACCGTACCCATCCCGTACCCATACCGTAAAACCTCGAATTGAAGCCCTGGGCTTCTTTTTTGCGAACTTTTGATGGGCTTTTTTTCAAAATGGGCTACATTTCGAGATGGGCTGCTTTTCGAGACTACTTTTGCAAAGTAAAGAGCAGGGGTTCTTTTCAAAATGAATGCTGTAAATTTTGTGAATTTGTACAATTAAAAAATAAATAAGGTAAATGTAACATCAATCTGTATTATGGAGTGTATTTAACTGGCATTAAGTCACCTAAACTAATGTATAAACCAAGCTTGTTTTTAAATTATTTTGTTTTTTGAAATTCATGTACATTGTATGTACTTACTATCTCGCAAACTAAAGAGGGGGCTTCAAATCAAGAAGGGCTTCATCTCGAGATTAAGCCCACTGATTCGACGTTTTACATTATATATTTGAAAAAATAAAATAATGAAGGGGTGGTACACTACCAAGTGGTGGTAGAGTGATTGGCCACCTTCACGTTAAATTAATTAACATAGTTAGCCTTTATAAGATAAACTGCATGATGCAGCCATTTTTTACACGCAGCAAAACCCATATTAAGGAGATCTTTAGGACTAAAAAGCTCCCGTTATTGGGGTGTCTCCTACAGGGGTTGACTATAATGTTAAAAGATACATTCCGTTTCGTGGCCGAAAAAAAGTGTAGTAGGGGTGTCCTCTTAATAGGGGTGTCCCAAAGAAGAGTTCTACTCTATGTATAAAGTAAATGTATACATACGGTAGTTACCATTGGTATATAGGCAGTATTCATCGAAACGAGAACGATAATAGAAGAAATTGATAAAATCAACATCAAATATAATATTTTCTAAACATTTTGTTTTTAGAACATTTTTATTGTAAAAAACATATGGCTATAGGCTATGCGAAATATAAACATGCTTTAATTCATTTATTTCATTGTATAAACTATTAAATTCGTATATAAGCAATATAAAAATGTATAAACCTACAAATTCCTAATTATCTATCCTATTGTAAGCTAGAAAAGTATTTCATTGTAGAATTGTTGCACAAATTAACTTTTATATGATGTTATTCATTCGTTCATTAGATTAATCAGGGCTGTAAAACACGGACCCGAATTTAAAATGCTTAGGTACGGTATAGCATAGTAAAATGATAGGTATTGTAGAAATATATGTGACATTGAAGGTTCAATATGTTTTTTCGTACCTCTCTTAGTCATACCAAACCTCCAGCTCTCCCCCACTGGCGCCCTCCCCCCGCTGACGCCACCCCTGCTAACCTCTTAACCCTTGGGAACACCACTGCAATTCGAGGAGGAGCTTCTTAAGGCCAACTCAGACAGCGTCGGCCGACGCAGCACGACGCGATTTGTTGTCGCGTCGGGTCTGTGTGAGTTGAACGCAGACGCGATGGTGTGCGTCGGGGGCAGTCGCGTAGTAGAATATTAAACG